ATATAAATTACAACTAGGGTCTGTAGCTGATTTATACAAATTACAACTAGGGTCTGTAACTGATTTATACAAATTACAACTAGGGTCTGTAGCTGATTTATATAAATTACAACTAGGATCTGTAGCTGATTTATACAAATTACAACTAGGGTCTGTAACTGATTTATACAAATTACAACTAGGATTTGTAGCTGATTTATACAAATTACAACTAGGATCTGTAGCTGATTTATACAAATTACAACTAGGAAACTAGAAACCGTTTACAAAATGTTTTAGTGAGCTTAGTGCTTGTGATTTATTAAGATTATTTTCAACTTCGAAATAAATCTGATTTGTTTGAAAAATTTGTAATTGCTTAGGCAACATTAAAGGTAGAATTTTGTTGTATTTACAAGCTGTTAAATGTAATGGTTCTTAAAAATAAAGTAAAATATGTAATACAGTTCTATTCTTTGTAAAAATGGTTTCATAACACTTGTATTCTATATAATATTTTAGCATTCCACAGATTAAGAATTTGCGCTGCAATCTTCAGTGTCTTCGTCATGTTGAAGGTACGACCTGTTTCATTCTAAATTGAATTTGCAATCATTTGACATTTTTTAGCATGTTTCTATCAACCAGAAGTGTTTTTCACATGTTGGGTTAGCAATTAATATTGAAGTGTTTTATATCTGTTGACAAAAATCACATTAGGTATGTCTCTCAAACAGACATTTTTTAGCACGTTTCTATCAGCCAGAAGTGTTTTTCACATGTTGGGTTAGCAATTAATATTGAAGTGTTTTATATCTGTTGACAAAAATCACATCAGGTATGTCTCTCAAACAGACATTTTTTAGCATGTTTCTATCAACCAGAAGTGTTTTTCCCATGTTGGGTTAGCAATTAATATTGAAGTGTTTTATATCTGTTGACAAAAAATCACATTAGGTATGTCTCAAACAGACATTTTTTTAGCATGTTTCTGTCAAAAAGAAGTGTTTTTCCCATGTTGGGTTGGCAATTAATATTCAAGTGTTTTATATCTGTTGACAAAAAATCACATTAGGTATGTCTCAAACAGACATTTTTTTAGCATGTTTCTGTCAAAAAGAAGTGTTTTTCCCATGTTGGGTTGGCAATTAATATTGAAGTGTTTTATATCTGATGACAAAAATCACATTAGGTATGTCTCAAACAGACATTTTTCATGTGTTGGTTGTGATAATGTTTGGTTTGTG